TTCTGTTGATCAACGAGTACAATATTGACGTCATGTGTAGGAATTGGAATTGTGTACAGATATATTTAAAAATCGAAGGAGATTACTACACATGGACAGAAGATACTATTGGTCAGAAGGTACAATGGGTCGGTGTGTAGTGAAGATCAGTAGGTACCATAACTCAAAAGATACTATTGGTCAGTAGGTACAATGTGCCAGAGTGCTCCGTAGATCAGTCTACCATAACTAAAAGGGTACTACTGGTCAGAAGGTACAATGGGTCAGAGTGCTCTGTAGATCAGTCAACCATAACACAAAGGGTACTACTGGTCAGAAGGTACAATGGGTCAGAGTGCTCTGTAGATCAGTCAACCATAACTCAAAGGGTACTACTGGTCAGAAGGTACAATGGGTCAGAGTGCTCTGTAGATCAGTCAACCATAACTCAAAGGGTACTACTGGTCAGAAGGTACAATGGGTCAGAGTGCTCTGTAGATCAGTCTACCATAACTCAAAAGGTACTACTGGTCAGAAGGTACAATGGGTCAGAGTGCTCCGTAGATCAGTCTACCATAACACAAAGGGTACTATTGGTCAGAAGGTACAATGGGTCAGAGTGCCCGTAGATCAGTCTACCATAACACAAAGGGTACTACTGGTCAGAAGGTACAATTGGTCAGAGTGCTCTGTAGATCAGTCTACCATAACACAAAGGGTACTACTGGTCAGAAGGTAAAATGGGTCAGAGTGCTCTGTAGATTAGTCTACCATAACTCAAAGGGTACTACTGGTCAGAAGGTACAATGGGTCAGAGTGCTCTGTAGATCAGTCTACCATAACACAAAGGGTACTACTGGTCAGAAGGTACAATGGGTCAGAGTGCTCCGTAGATCAGTCAACCATAACACAAAGGGTACTACTGGTCAGAAGGTACAATGGGTCAGAGTGCTCCGTAGATCAGTCAACCATAACACAAAGGGTACTACAGGTCAGAAGGTACAATGGGTCAGAGTGCTCCGTAGATCAGTCAACCATAACACAAAGGGTACTATTGGTCAGAAGGTACAATGGGTCAGAGTGCTCCGTAGATCAGTCTACCATAACACAAAGGGTACTACTGGTCAGAAGGTACAATGGGTCAGAGTGCTCTGTAGATCAGTCTACCATAACACAAAGGGTACTACTGGTCAGAAGGTACAATGGGTCAGAGTGCTCTGTAGATCAGTCTACCATAACACAAAAGGTACTATTGGTCAGAAGGTACAATGGGTCGGTGTGTAGTGAAGATCAGAAGGTACCATAACTCAAAGGGTACAATGGGTCAGTC